TTGGGAACAATTTACTCAAACTTTCTGGGATTTCCCCCGATAAACGATTGTTTGAGAGATCAAGAACACTGAGGGATTTCAACGAAGTGAGTGAACTAGGGATCGTTGAATCCAGCTGATTTCCTTGTAACATCACCAGATTGAGCTTCTTCAGATTGCCGATCTCGAACGGCACCGGACCGGAGAGAAGATTGTTGCTGAGATCAAGCTTCACCAGATTGGTTGCTCCTGAAATCTCCGGCGGGATAACTCCAGAAATCCTGTTTCTTTGCAAGAACAACTCTGATAAGTTTCTTGCCTGTGAGATAGAACTTGAAATGGAACCAGTGAGATGATTATGAGCAACATCAATGATTGAAACATGGGGGAGAGCCAAAAGTTCTTGAGGAATTTTTCCTACCAACTGATTGAAACTAACCCGAAACCTCAAAATTGACTCGCATTCGGCGAAACTTGCTGGTATTTCTCCAGAAAGGCTGTTCTGCAGGACAAGAAAGTATAGCAATTCCCCTCCTCTGCATATATCCAATGGCAATGGCCCCGACAGGCGATTTTCCGACAAGTCGACGACGACCATTGGAGAGTACTTCCCCAACTTTTGTGGAATCTGTCCTGTAAGAAAGTTGTCATAAAGTGATAGCATAGTTAGTGTTGTTGAGTTAGCTAGTACACTTGGGATCTCTCCTGTTAGACTATTGTTGTAAATCTGTAGAACTTTAAGCTTTGGGAGTTTGCAAATGGATTCTGGTAGCTCTCCTGTTAAAAGGTTCACCGACATGTCGACGTCGACGAGCTCTGTTAGATTTCCGAACTCCTCTGGTATGTTTCCTGCGAGTTCATTGTAATAGAGTTCAAGCTGTTGCAAGTTCTTCAGTAAGGAGATTTCTTTTGGGATCTCTCCCTTGAGAAAGTTCCCACTGAGTTCGAGATCGATAAGAGACGTCATGTTCCCAATCGATCTCGGGATTTCCCCGTCTAACATACAGGTTGTCAACACCATGGATTTCAGCTTCGTCAGTCTGGAGATCTTCTCAGGCAACTTCCATAAGTTGAGATTGTAATTCTCATTGAAGTTCAGCACCTCGAGATTCACAAGGTCGAAAACCGACATGGGAAAGTCGCCAGTGAAGGAATTGTACGATAAGTCGAGCAGACGTAGTTGTTTCATTTGCGACAAATCCGGGATTGTTCCATTGAGATACATGGAGCTCATGTCAAGCTCTTCAAGGAGAGAACAATTAGTGATTCCTGGAGGAAAGCGTCCCTGGAAACCAGTACGTGCCAGACGAAGAACTCGTAGCTCTGGGAGGTAAGAGCATAGATCTTCGGGGAAGGTACCTGAGAGAGGCTGGCCAGAGATATCCATCCGAACGACGCTACCTCGGTCATTGCAGTCGATTCCGGTGAAGTTGCAGAAGGATTTACCTCTTGAAAGATCCCAATGAGTGAGGAGCTTTCCTGAGGCAGTGTTTTGCATGAGAAGGAAGAACTGGGACTGGTTGGGAGAAGTAGAAGCAGCAGTAGAAGTAGCAGTAGAAGCTTGAGAAGAAGCAGAGATGGAGGAAGTGAGGAACAAAAGCAGGAAGAAAGCTGAGTGAAAAGCCATAACTGTGACAGAAGGTGGAGCTCCAGCTGAGAAATGAGAGGTGAAGGAAGCAAGAACAAAATGGGAGGAATATAAATGGGGATCAAAACAGTGCAGCAGCATATCAGTACAGTAACAAAGCCAGCCTTGAAGAAGGTGACAAGAAAAGGTTCTTGCAGCAAGTGTGAGGTAGGGAAAAAAGAAACTTTATGTTCCGGCTCCACTACCGGCTAGAAACTGTCGTCGGCTTTACGATTTTAAATCTGTTTTCTAAGGAGAGGTTTTTACACTTTTATAAGGAATGTTTTGTGAGATCTTACAATCCATCTCTCTTGGGGGCCCAACGTCTTTGCTGGCACATTGCCCAGTGTCTGGCTCTGATGATACTATTGGTAACCGCCTAAGCCATCTCTAGTAGATATTGTCTGCTTTGGCCTGTTTTAGAATGCATCTACTAGGAAGAGGTTTTCACACCCTTATAAAGAATGTTTCGTTCTATTCTCCAATCAATATAGGATCTCACAATCCACCCATTGGGGTTCAGTGTCCTCACTGGTATATCGCCTGGTGTCTACCTCTAATACCATTTGTAACAATCGAAGTCTACTACTAGCAATTATTGTCCGTTTTAGTCCCTTACGTATCACCGTTAGCCTCGAACGCATCTACTAAGAAATTTCTATACTCTGATAAGGAACCTCTAGAAATCATCAAGGTTTTCACTGGTTTTTACTTCAGAGAACGTTGACTGAAAACAGAAGCTGAAGAAATAGAAAGACAGGTATGTTGTCTGAATTCTTACTTTGTTTTGTTCTTTCATTTTTTTACCACAAAATCCATTCTTAACCGAAGTGTCATTAATGGCCTAATTAATCACTTTGATTAAGATTAAGGTCATCCTTTGTCCTCTCCACTACCCTCTATTGGACCTTCAACTCACCACTCAAAATCATGGCTTCCATTTACATTTTCACTCCAAATCTATTCCTATCTTTTATATCAATTTGGTCTTAAATATGTTCTAACATATTCAACCTTTTGTCTATTTGTAAGAGTCTAAGCTCACTGCTAGTAGATATTGTTCTTTTTGAACTTTCCTTCAAGGTTTTAAAACGTGTCTTATAGGGAGAGGTTTCTATATCCTTATAAAGAATGCTTCGTTCTCCTCCCAAATTAACGTGGGATCTCACAATCCACCTCCCTTCAGGGCCTAGTGTACTCGCCGGCACTCGTTCCCTTCTTCGATCGATGTGGGATCTCACACTATTAGTGATATGAACCAAAGGACATCAATCATACAATATGAGCATATGAAAATGTGAAGAAAATATTGTTAAAATTATCAAAAAGATATTTCAATTCATGCCACATTGAAGAAGAATGAAGTTTCATGTGATAAATTTTGGGTGGATTACAATTTAGAGTTATTGTATTTCATTAATGTATTTTAGAGTTAAGTAGTTTCATTTTGAAGCTATATAAAGCCTATGTATTTTAGAGTTGCTATGGCTAAGTTGTCATGGCTAAGTTGCTATGGCTAAGTCGATGTAGTTTAGGTTGCATGTAGAATCATTCAAGCTTGACATGATCAATCTTGCTTGTGGAGTGATTCGAATCTCAAGCAAGTGTTCTTGCCTTGAGATATTTGATCAACAAGAATCATTCAAGCTAGACATGATCGATCTTGCTTGTGGAGTGATTCGAATCTCAAACAATGTTCTTGCCTTGAGATATTCGATCTCAAACAATGTTCTTGCCTTGAGATATTCGATCAACAAGGTAATCCGAATCTTAAGTTTAAAGACTTACTACAATGTTTAAACATTCAGATACATATCTAAACAAACACCGGTTTCTTGAGTAATGTTGCAAAGCACACAATTGGTGTAAGGTTTAAGTGCATACGACAATACAAGAAAGACCCATGTGCTCCGCCGTACGAACTTGAAGTCCTTATAGTTAAACGTAAGATAACATCGTGATCTTTTCTCAGTTCGAGTTGTAATTAATAATAAATTAGGTATATGGTTCATGTTAAGCAGTTGCATATGGACAAATATTTTGTTTCAACCATTGGAAAAATGTTCAAAAGTTCTCTAAAGTGCCTTTGGATTAAATATAGAGATGTTGATAGAGCAAGTGTTTGATCTTATTTTAAGTTTCCTTTTATTCTCTACCAAACTTTTGACAAGAAATCTTATACCAATCACTCACAAATCATTGGTTCTTTATATTTAAATTGCAATTTGAGCTAATTTAATAGGTCGGTGGAGTGTTTTTTTTAAAAAAAGAGATCCATATATCGGTCACGAGCAATATCAAGCTTAAGGCAAGTTGATTCATTGGGTCGGGCTAAACCTTCTACAACAATACTGGGTTCATAGAGAAGGCTTGCAAGGATCTTTGAGAAGATCATAAGGTGTTGATAGGAGGGGGTCTCGAGAGCTTACGGGTATGTGGACATAGTTGAACAAAGCTAGTATTTAGATACAGTTGGAGTATCAAAGGTTGAAAAATGTTAAGACCATAAATAAAAAATGTACGAAAGAAGAACCAAAAGAATCCTACCAGAGTTCTCAAAGGAACCATACGTAAAAAATGGTTTACTAATTGGTGTACTTGAGATGCTACCACCGGCCGTCTATTAGGAAAATATGGTCCAACCTCCTCTCGAGAAATGTGAGTAGGAACAACTGCAAGAGCTTTCAGTAGCGATAATTGCCCCGATCATAAGGGTCACCACACACCTAGAGCTAACATTTGAATGTGACTTTTTTTTTTTTTTTTTTTTAGAGATTGGGCTTGAGAATCAAAAGAGATGCTCATAACCCAAATGGTTGAAAACCCAAATGGAAACCCTTATTTGAACCGTCTTCCTTACACAAAAAGGAATAAAAAACAGAGAGACAAGGTTGTATGAATGAAGAGCTTAAGAGCTAGAAACTGAGTGGCTGTGTTGGCTGCCTGTAACAGACTAAGCCCACCGCTAGTAGATACTGTATGTTTTGACCTATTACATATTGCTTTCAGCCTCACTATTTTAAAATGCGACTACCATGGAGAGCGTGTAGCCCTACTAAAACGAGCCTACTATTCGAGAGGGATTATTTAAAAATAAGAATCGTTATGATACTCGAGTAAATTAAAGAGTACATAAATGAACCAGAATCATAACGATCATGAAGATAGGAAGACTAAGAAAGACTTAAAAAAATTAAAAGTCACTACAATATGTCAACAAGATGCACGTTACTTTTCAATGACTCGGGAGTAGGTAGTTAAAGTTGCAAGAAACTTGATGGTAAGTTGCTTGTATTTGAAGCAACTTAAAACTCAAGTTTGCTTGCAAATAACATATATATATATATTTTTGTTAATATTGGCAATGGATGTAATTTATTGGAAAACTGTAGGGGCAGTTTCGGTTGATGATGAAGCTTGCGGAAGCTAACGGGAACCGCCACCTTTCCTACTGCTGGCTGCTGCGTCGTTCGAGGATTCGCAGCGTCAGTTACGCGCACACACAGAGATTCCAAGAGAGTGGCGGCGAGAGTATCAGAGAGGCCACGCATGCTAGGTAGAGCGCGGAAATGGTGATGCCCGAGTCGTCTGAACGCCACCGGACCGCGTCTCGTCGAGCGAATCAACCGCCGACTCGACCGCAACTTGGAGCTAGGGTTCCGCTCAAGCGGTTACTTCGCGTGGCATCTGTCGCATGTGGAATTCAATTCGGTTGGGCTTTGCAGCTCTCTCTTCTTACTCCTTATATTCAAGAGCTTGGTATTCCTCATGCTTGGTCAAGTCTCATATGGCTATGCGGACCGCTTTCTGGCCTCTTTGTCCAGCCGCTCGTTGGCCACATGAGCGATCGCTGCACCAGCCGATACGGCCGCCGGAGGCCGTTCATTGTAGCTGGAGCGCTTTCCATCGTACTCGCCGTCCTTATTATCGGTCACTCAGCGGACCTCGGTTGGTTGCTTGGTGACAGAGGTGATGTTAGGCCTCGTGCGATTGGATTCTTTGTGTTTGGATTTTGGATTCTCGATGTCGCTAACAACTTAACGCAGGGTCCTTGTAGAGCTTTGCTTGCTGATCTTACCGGTAAGTTGTTTGGTATACCGTCTGAATTTGATGTCTCTGTTATTATACAATTTCGTTTACATGTGTAGAAGATTTTTCTGTAATAGTAAATTAATAATTGACATGTAGTTACAATATGTGGATATGGCACGTTCAATTGAATCTATGAAAGTTCTTATGTTGTGTGGTGGATCTCAAGATACTTGCATCTTTCAAAAATAATATTGTCTAGGTAAGGATCATCGAAGGAATCGAGTGGCAAATGCTTATTTTTCACTATTTATGGCGATTGGTAATGTTTTTGGGTATGCCACTGGATCTTTTAGTGGCTGGTGCAAGATCTTGCCGTTTACTCTTACCTCTGCATGCTCGGTTAATTGTGCAAATCTCAAGTCAGCTTTCTTGATTGATGTCGTGTTCATTGCAATTACAACATATTTGAGTGTTTCAGCAGCTCAAGAGATTTCTCTAGATTCAAGCGGCAGGTCGTCCCTGGTAGTGGAAGACGGTATGGGGCAATCAAGTCATGCTTCAGAAGCATTTCTCTGGGAGTTGTTTCATACTTTTAGACACTTCTCTGGGTATATATGGGTAATTTTGCTTGTCACTTCCCTGACATGGGTAGCATGGTTTCCATTTATTCTATTTGATACTGATTGGATGGGTAGAGAGATTTATGGTGGCAAGCCAAATGAAGGACAGAATTATAGTTCTGGAGTCCGAATGGGAGCATTTGGCCTGATGTTTAACTCTGTTGTCCTTGGAATAACTTCATTACTTATGGAGAAGCTGTGCAGAAAATGGGGTGCTGGTTTTGTATGGGGAATCTCTAATATTTTTATGGCTCTATGTTTCCTTTCTATCCTGGTTGTTACTTATGTGGCCAACAATATGGGCTATATAGGCCATGAGCTTCCACCAAATAGTATCGTATCAGCTGCATTGATTATCTTTGCTCTTCTTGGCGTCCCTTTGGCAGTAAGCAGTTCCTTCCTTGTCTAAAATGTGGTTGCACATGTTGTATCTTCTTTCCATCCCATCCTTTCTTGCCTTAGCACAAATAATACTACCATTTGATGAATATGCAGAGTTCAAGAAATCACGTATATATCATATTGTATTTGGAATATTTAGTTAACATAATTTTCTTTCAGTTTGTGATAATGCACGAAGGTCCATTTATGCATTACTTTTATTCATCTATTGGAATAATTCATTGCAGATTACTTACAGCATTCCATATGCCATGATCTCCTCACGTGTTGAATCTTTGCAACTTGGTCAAGGTGGGGATTGGGGTGATGTTGCTTTGTTTGAATGAAGGACTAGAGAGTTTCTTATTGTGTTGTTGCATCTTGCAGGTTTGTCTGCCGGTGTCTTGAACTTGGCAATAGTAATTCCTCAGGTGACACTCATCCTACATATCTTTTTCTTAATTTTCTTTTGCTTTGCGAGAGTAAAATGATATTACCTTTGTTATTTGATGGACTTTTCTCTCAACCTATTAAACGCCAGTAGAAAATATATAACATGAATGCCTAGGGCAGAGCACTGATTTGGATTCTTCTTTTTAAAAACAAAACAAAATTTGAAATTGATTTTTTATAACAATTCAGATGAGTTATTTGCTGATAGTTGACAAAACTTAACTATGGTTTCCGAAACTTTGAGGGTGGAGTTTCAATCCGAAAACAGGATTTTAGCTGAATAAAAGTCTTAAATCTTTTACTATTGAGCTTGAGGTGAAACATCTTTTCATCCCATAGGCATTGTCACAGTATACAGGTCTATAAACAAAATGTTTCATTTTTAATATAGTTAATTGACCTCTTTTGTTCACAACCTTTTTCTATTATTATTATTATTATCTTGTATACATTTGGGAGTTGTCTAATTGCAACTATTGGTGGGAGATGTTCCCTATCGAATTTTCCCTATTATTTGATGACAATATTTTGTTTTTTGTTTGTCACTATTTGAGTGGAATGCTTGTCTAAGTTGTCCCATGGTTTATAGTGAGGTAATCTCTGAAGTACGATGAAAATTTGGCTTTAAATGAATTCTTAATAATTGGGATTGGGTTTGCACTGCATTTGAATCCACAAATTTGTACCATCCATTATTCGATGGTGAATTTAGTGTGCTTTGAACTCTGTTTTTTTTATTTTTGTTGATTGTCATATATTGTAAGAACTGTGGAAAAACTTCTTTTATAATCTTTATTTGGACATGATAGTTTACTGGGTTACTTTTATTTTATATTTTTGTAATAGATCTCTTTTGGACAAGGAACTTGATGCTGTAGGTTCTGCACTTTCTGATAACAGACTTTCGAAGTGTGTTGGTTCATATTATTTTTGAGTTATGCACAAGCTCAACCTACATTAAAGGGACTACTTAGTCTATATACCCACTGTATCATAATCTTGGTCGAAGTACATGAAAACCTCTAGTGTTGGAAGGGGTAAGATTGTAGTTAACTTGGGAGAAAGAGAGTCCGCTCAACTTGTATATGCAAGAAGGAAATACTAGAGGTCTTATTCTGAACAAATGGAGGAACAATACAGTTAGTGTGCTCCGTCTTTAATCATTTGACTTAGTTAAATGAGAGATTGTCAAATTTGGGCTGACCTTTTCTGGGACATACCAAGACAAAACTTCTCTTGAAAATCCAGTTGTGGATATCCCTGTTAGACAGTTTACTTTTGTCTTGGGAAAGGATTTCAGGGAATCCAGATGAATTAAATTTCCATGTGGAAGATCACAAGGAAAGGATTTGAGTTTGTCCATATCTATAGTCCTGATGTCACTTTCCAATATGTAATGGATGATAATAGAAATGAAATAATTTGACATAATGTTTTGTTTCTTCAAAACTTTTTGATCTCTAGTGGACCTCTCTCTAGGATTCAATCCAGCTGAAAGATTTGGCTCTTGCCTTAGGTGATATTGTCAGGAACATATTTTGATCTGTAAGATATGATAGACTTGAGGGGGCCATAGTAGTAACATTTTAATCCTAAACAGTGAAGCATAAGCTGAAAGATCTGGCTGGTTTTTTTTACCTTTTAAGAATCTGTTTCTTGACATTACTATTATTTGTACTTCAATTTCAGTTATATTCTTGTTTTACAGACACAAACTATATTTCCAGAAGCCATGTATTCTTTCCACATACGTCATTTAACTTTGCTTTTTACGTAAGGGGGTTCTTCTCTATTAGGGCTGAAGCTCATGTGTGATGGCAAAATTGAACTCACTTGCCAGCTTTTCCGTATTTTGTTGAGTATCTCTTTTTTTTTTTTTTTTTTT